ATAACAGATTATATAAGCATTTATAAAGTACAGGAAATAGTCAAAGCCAGCAAATTCAGCTGTATATAAGAATATAACTAATAACTGTTATATTGTGTGCATCTGATAAAAAAAGTCACTTTATTGACAAGATAACTATAATTTAACAAAGTATTAGAGATATGCTGCTGAACAACCAGGCAAAGCCTAGTGGCTATTTAAAATGCCTTGTAAAACAAGGAGCCTACTCCCATTAAAAAACTATCTTTATACCAGGGCAGAAGGAAAGTCAATGAASTGTGAAAGCAATTCAGATTCAGCAAAATGTTTCTTTGCTCAAAAATAGCAGACATTGGGAAATTCAGGCAAAGTGATTTGAGGAAAAAAATAATTAAGAGTTGTCCCCATGCTTGGGGGGAAAAAAATAAAGAACCCAGAGACTCGATCAGCAGCAGAGGTTGTCTGAATTCATTTATCAGATTAAACTGCATCATTCTTCAACGTAAAGTGTTACATTAAATCTAATATTATTTGATAACTGGTGAGACTCCAAGCAGTGAATTTCATTTCTGTGGATAAGAATTAGTAACTACTAAGAATAGTAACTGTTATTCTTAGTAATTCTTAAGTACTAATACTGCAGATAGGTCACTGCAAGATTTTGTTGTACCATAGTCAGTCTGACCCATTAAAATAGTAACTGGCTGTGATGAGAAGCAGGTTGTTGGATGTCCCCTGGGCTGCTCCCCGCTCCGAKCTGCCTGCACTGACTGCTTCCTGCAAAAGGAGACCCAACCACGGAGCAGCAAGGAACAGCGGAGAGCATTCCCAGCGGCAGAAGTGATGGGGAGGACAGGGCACCTGCACGCTCTGTGCACATCTGAGTGCTACCAAGCTCTGGACTTGGTGCCTCTGGATGTCACTGTGGTGTGATCCTGGAAATTCAATCCACCTGCTTGGATGCTCTCCTGTCTCAGACTTGTCCACTTTGGTGCACTGTTGAGGAGTGAGGCTGTAAGAAGGAAGAGGTGGTCAGCAGTGATGGCAGAGATGAGAGCTGGATGCAGGTGGGTGCTGGTAAATCCCACCAGAGGATGAGGCAAGGGGCACCTGAAAAGGTCTGAAGGATCTTCTTTTCCCCAGGTTGGAGAGAGGGAAGCAGGGACAAGAACAGCCTTGGTTCACACTGGTAAAAGACACAAGGTTGAGCTCCAGATAGCAGGGAGCCTCTGAGATTGGTCCTGAAAATCCCTAAGAGGTTTCTTTTTGTATAAAAGTTTTTTTTTTATTTCTCTCTCCCACACACATATACACATACACTTTTACAATCCTGTAATCAAAGCACTGAAAGGTGGGAWCATTAGTTCAAATCCCTGGCGTTAATTGCTAGCGGGAAAGAGAATTAWAGCCTCTCACTCATTAGGAGGGGGCAGGAACCAGCAGAAAATGTAATTTTTTTTTTTCCTCACTGAACAGCTCACATAAATTAGCCAAGCAACTCTCAAACACTCACACTGATCATTTTATATTAAAGACATTCAGATTTCTGAGCCCCAAAAGACAACATAACAAATATTTCTCCAAAAGCAACATTTTCTGCTCTTTCACCTTAACTTCTTTGTCCTACGAGCCAGCCTCGTCATTTTAACTTCATGCCACTTGCTATCTGAAGGCTATTTTAACTTCTGGAGAACAGACAAGCACAGGAGGAGCCTCAGCCTAAGCCTCCACAGCCCACGCAAGCACCACAGGCAGGTAATAAAATGCACAAGGGGACCTAAAACACGCAAAGTTGCCTTGTAGCTGAACAGGTCAGAGCATCTAACTTCTCATAACCTCACTTAAGGCTTAGATRTATTAGAGATAAGGCAGCCCTAACTGCTTCGGTCTTCAAGATGCTATTTAGACAGCCCACAAGTCAGGCATGCACTCAGCAAGAGGCAGAAAACTTTGATATAACACTGAGGAATTTAACAGTTGAATGGACCAAGAAAACACATACTGTAAGCTGCAATGGTTTAAAAATAAGGTTTAAAAATACAATTAGTTTACATTTTGATTCAGATCTACTTCAATCTGACGTATCGGAAAATGAGCAAATATACTAAGCGTATCAAAATACGAAGTGAACAAAATGAAAAACTTGTCATCAACTCAAAGGACTTAGCAGCAACTCTGCCACATTATATAAACAGGCCAAGACTTTAGAAAAAAAAAAATTGCCTATTTCTAGGTTACAAATATGACCCTARCTACCTCTCACAGGGCTCCTTCACTAAGTGTTTTGAAAATCCTTTTAAAAAATACTTTCCCTATTAGGCCATAAAGCAAGAAGCTCAACTGAAMGCTCCTTTTATTAATGATTTGCTCTTTCACACTAGATTAAATGGCAAATAACAAGCAGCTTCGGTGCAGTTACAATGATACATCAAGACTGAGGAAATAATTTAGTACGGTACAAGTAATGGAGAGCTAATTAAGTTAAAGGAATTATGATCTTCTGATATACTTGATGAGTACTAAGYTTGCAAATGAATTTAAAGGAAGAGTTATAGTCAGTTTTGTGGCTTGTAAATAAAGAAAACTGCTTAAAAATTAACAAAGATCAGATCCTCTTTGGTGTATGTCAGTAGTTTTCAGGCTTCCATTTTCTCTGAAGAGCTTATGCCCTTGTATCTCTTACCGAACACAGACTTGCTCTTCGCTCTTCATTTACCTTTCCCAGACCTTCTAGAAATATTAAATGGACCCAGATGGCTCTCCAGAACAATGCAAGAGTCAAAACTTGGGAAATACTCACTCATTCTCTGCAGTGTTTGCAGCTCGCGAGCATGTTTGCTGTAAGACTCCACGACCCTCCTCACGGGGAAAGAAATGGGCAAGTTTAGAGAAAACACAGCAACGCATCCTCCCGCACACTTGTAAAAGCACCTCCAGAAGTAGATGCTCAAATAACCCTCTCACAAACATAAAGACAAACCTTTCCAATAACAAAACTTACCTGAGACCTCACAGCCAGCAGCACTGGGGGTTCCAGGTGCAGAGGAAACAGCTGGAGTTCAGGTTTCTCCACTAGACAGCTGGAGATTTCCCAATAAAAGTGAACGCAGCTTTCGATCCTAACTTTCCTGCTGCTCCAGCTGCACGTTGTGGATCCCTGCGGAACACACTGGCTGAGGAGCTCTTGGTAGCACATTTTCCTGCAGCACTGTATATAGCTGGCTTGTTTCTTATTTTCATGAGATTAAATCTCATCCGGATGCCACCCTGTGCCACGTGCTGTGGGTGTCCCTGCTTGAGCAGGGGGCCTGGACTGGATGATCTCCAGAGATTAGCTCTAGAGATCCTTCCAACCTCAACCATTCCATGATTCTGTGAAATYTCATGTTGAATTTCACTCTGGTTAACATCATAGGTCAGGAAGTAGAATTATGAAGAAAAGCTTCAAACACACCAGTGATATGGGAAAAGAACAAATTTCAGCCTTTGAATACTATTTAGTTTCAAATAAAGACAGTGATTGTGGCAATCCCAGTAAAAATAAGGTAAGAGAGACACAGACAAATACTAAAGTAGAAAAGTCAAAATGCTGCTGTCTAGGCTGTTTGGGGAAGATATGCAGAGCAGAATTGTGCTCTGGGATCTTGGCTCATTCTCATTGCCTTCATTACTTTTGCTTTCAGAAAAGCAGAAGTTTTTATGTACCGTGGTTTAAAAAGTCATATAGAACAAGTACACTTTCTTATCACTCTCATATCAACATACGGAAAGACTGTATATTCTCTATATAATCTCATTTGTCAACAGCTTGTAAATCAACTTTTTAAAGTAATAACATCAATCATTAATTGTTTTAAACTTAGCAAGTGAACACTCAAACAGGAAATATGATGCATAAAACAAGAACAAAGTCTTTAACACAGTATTTAGTAAACACACCAGGTACAGGCTGGTCAGTCTGTTAGTGACTATCATCAACAGCTCTAAACACAACTGTTCTCTTGAACAACTTGTGTACGCCCAAAGACGCTTGCTTACTTTGCCTCCAGGCAACAGAAAACATTTTTCCCCACTACCTTTATAGCAGCAATAGTTAAGTCTTTATTCCAGTTTCCTTTCTCTCCAACTTTTGGGARTGTAAAAGCTTACCGTGATTTTTGCTTGTATACCACTCTAGACTGGAAACACTTCCAGTTTCCCCTTGTGTGCCAGAATGGGCCTCCCTTTTAGATCTTAATGTGGCTGTACTGGAACCCAAACAGAGAGGAACTATTCACAGTTCAGAACTAGATTAGTCCCTCCCTTCTACAGTCCAGTCCGGAGTTTTATTGCCCAAATCACCGGCACAAATCGCAATATGAGCTGCAAGACACATGAACTAACATCCGGGGTGACAAATCTGAGTATCAATTGAGTTACCGGAGTCACAAGCACCAAGAAGGGAAGAGGAGCAGAAGAGAGAGACAGAGATTGTGAGCAAGTGTGTAAAGTGATATTATGTTATTAAAACATCACATCAGAAATAAACAGAACGTAAACCAAAGAAAAGGTTTTAACCAGATTTAACTTTCTTTTTTTTCTTTTTTAAGTTTCAAATTGACCCAAAGCAAAAACTTACATTACAAAGGAAGAACAAAATACATTATGATATCAGTAACAGAGTTGCATGGAAGCTAGATTCGTGGGCAGGTTGTAAATTGCTCGTCACAGGACATTGGGGACTCTGGACAGATTTAGCTGAGCAAATTAGGACCCAAATTTTTCATCTCGTCCAGGTCCACCCTGGGTACATGCTACATATTCTCTTTGCTTCGGGGTATGTGTCTGACAAGTCATCCAGATGTATTCTCCTACTAGAGCCAAAAAGCTAAATTTTCCACATGATCCCAAGGAAGCCAGAGTTATTCCAAGCATGAATGATAATGAATTTTTAAAAAATTCCCCCCAAAACAAAAACAAACAAAAAAAACACTCAAGAGCTTTTCAAACTAACAAGTATTGTCTATAATGTAAATAGTTTAGAAATATGGTAATTAAATAATCTAAAAAACACTCTTACTCTGCTGTACATTTATAAACATAAATATTTACAAAAACTTTCTGCTTTGTTTTAAAGGATGAGGTTTGCAGTTTGTTAATGATCAGAGTCTTTTACTCATATTGTTTCTTTGGTGTATTTGCCAATTTTTAAGGTTCATTACAAGTGTTCAACTGTGAATTTTAAGGTAATGGAACCAGGCTACATGACAAATTTATATTATGCACTTATCATTCCACATTCTAGTCCAAACAAACAAACAAACAGAGCTCAGTTTGTTCTCCAAAGTATTTGTGCACAATATTTAAAATAAAGAAAATGACTGAATTCCCCATTACTGAAGTTTGGGTAGGATTAATGGTGAATAAACTCTCACACTTCAGTCCCTGGAGCACATGGGTAACTCGGAGCAGCCAAGAGTGCAGAGCTACACGTGTGCTGTGGTGCTTCACTGCAGAAACCAACTACAAGAGAGGGTTTAAGCTTGGAAAGAGAGGACAAGGGCTTCCCCCTGGCCTTGGGATGGGGCAGATGATGGGGTGAAAATAAATTCAAAAAAACAGCTTTTTACTGGCCTGAAACATATGCGTGCTCCCTTTACATGTCAGTTACTCAAAAGAAATATCCAAAAAACAAACCTCAAACAATAAATAATGGAATTACACTTTTCTTCATTAAATAGCAATTTTGTTACCAACAAAAGACTTCCATAATTTTCTTCAGTCACAGCAACAGACAGAACAAATAATTTGCCTTAATATAAGTTGCAACTAAAATATACTCTAGATTACCTTAGAAAATATTACTGTAAAAATTCAGTGGGGAAGGACATTGGTTTTGACCAACTTACAAACATAGTGAACAATATTAAGGATTAAAAAAAAAAAATGTTAAGGTTCTGATTTCATTCCACAAAACTGAAGATTCAGGCTTAAAACTTGCCAGTCAATTCTTCACTTTTGTCATTGTCTCTCAGCACTGCTGAGTTTTAAAGATCCATCCTGCTTTGATACCAGCTGGTAGATATAAGTTGGAGATGAAAAGAGGTTCAATATCCCATTACCAATTATCAATTGCCCAAATCACTACAGCTCGGAAACCCGATGCAGTGACAAGCTTAACAGGATGGGCAATTCCTCGTTGCTTACCATAGTTCTAGTGCATCTCTTGTAAGATTTGTATTTGAGAAAACTTAACCCAGGGTTATGAAAAAATTAAGAGGAACTAGCATAGTTGAGTATGAGTACGCTTGCTTCCCTTTTCCATACTTTTAGCATTAAATATTTTGAAAAGCAAAGGTGTTAAAATTAAAAACTACCACTGTTCCTTTCATCTCCCACCACCACCCATACAACTGGTACAAAACCACTCCTGATGTTGCCAGCAGGATGGCAAAGCTTATGCAGAAGACACTGGCAAGAACCTCCTCATGAATCCACAGTCCTTTGCAAATGAGGACAGGGAAATAATGGCAGATTTTGGCCCACTCTTTTCACGGCAAGAATGGAGTTTTAAATCACTGGAAGTAGATCCTAAATAGATCTTTTTAACAACTATAATGAAAAACACATTCAGTAGCCGAATTTCAGGCCTGTTTGCAGTTGCTGTTTTCAGATTAATAGGAAACCACCTAATATTTCCAAAATTAAAATTTTAATATGAAGGGGAGTTATCTTTTTAGTGCACATAAAAGATGCAAGAAAGTAAGTCACGTGCACTTCCAATCTAACCTGAAACAAATTGCATTTCTGAAGSGGAAAAAAAATACCCAAAACACTGCCTTTAAAGTAAAGGGGTTTAGGCCTATATCTTCTTTTAAACGGACACAATTTGTCTGAGGACCCGTAGATAAAATTTCAACTGAAAGTGAAATAATGCAGGTTATACATTCATGAAACTCAGGGATTAATAATGAACAGCAATTGCCGCATCATTATAGCAATATCACATCAACACTACAGTGAGGCAGCAGTTTCTGTTCTTACAAATCACGTACGGAGACTAAATGAGATATTGTGTGTGTGGTGGTGGGGGGGAAATCACACATAAAGGGAAAATACATCAGAAAGATTATTGCACAGGAGGCACTGTATGAGAAACAGAATACATTGGCTTCAAAAAATCTAATTTTGTGTACTCTTAAGTTAATGTAAAAAATGCAGAGGCTATGCCTCTGTGTAGTGTACTGTCACTGTTAAAAACAGACTTACAAACAGCCCCCCATTTTACAGGGAATGTCAGGAAAGCAGAGGGCCTGAATTTTATCGGCATCCAAACTACAGTAATTAGGAAGAGAATAATACAAAAAGAGTCAATGCTTATGCCTATGAATTGAACAAGGTACCTGCATCTTTTTTTTAAATTTCCAAGTGATATTTGAATGGTTCTCCAGGACATGTCATTACCAGCTCTACCCTCTAGCCTGCAAAGCACATACAGCCAGGCAGAGACTTACACTACAAGCGTCTCAACACGCAGCACAGCCCCGAAGATCTTCCTTTTGCAGGTCTGGTGCCTTGGTTTCCAAACTTTATTTACTTTAATAATTGCTCAGCATGCCAATTTGAACCAATCACTTCCCTTGAAAGGCTATTTTCCATCTCCACTGCAAGTCTGCACACTTAATTTGAAAACAAACAAACAAAAAACCAACAGCAATTTTTAAAATGTAATATTGTATAGAAAGCTTGGACCTTGTAAACTTGGACCAAGAAACCAAAAATTAAGACCTTCTAGCATGTGGTATAAAAAACCCAAGGAAGTGTATACCTGCCTTCTGACTTCACAGAAAAATCAGAACTTGCATAGGATATACTTTGTGCAAGGCAACAAGCCTCTTAAGTATCTGGAATATAACTAATCTTGCTCAGAGTTCTTCTCTTCATGGATATCAGATATCATCAAATTTGTGTTTTAAGTAGTCTTTCATAACCTTGGCAATGGGTAGTTCATCAAGTAGTTTTAGGTTTTGAAGGCCTATACATTGTCGAATTTTAATTCGGCATAGATCTTGCAAGTTTCTGGGCTGTCCTGAAAAGACAAAAGGAACACATGAAAGTAAAATGATCACATTTTAAACATAATTCATGAGTGCATTTACTTATTCGAATCACAGATGCTTTTTACTTTCTAGGAGGAAGAYGTAAGGGCACAGAGAGGAAAGTAAAAAAAATGAAATAGGGTGGGAATAGGTTACTAAAACAATAATTCAGCAAAATCAAGGGATGAAGCCCCAAATCACTGACACGTATATGCAAAGAATTTTTACCAACACCAGTGCAAAGTAACATTACACATGTAAGGAGTTATGTTCATTATATTCCCGTGAGGAAGCCACATGTGCTTGAGTGTTTGTAAAACAAAACTGCTCTGTAAAAGAGCAATTACTTTAAATGATTTTTTTAACACATTTTACTATCCCTTCGTCATCAGTGGGGGGGAAAAAAGAAAAACAAAAAACAGATTTGTCTCTTAAAATATTAAAGCAAAATTTTTCTATATACCAATGTAATGGGAATGGGTAGTGTCCTTTGAGAAGAAAGTTTACAGAAGTCATTCAAGGATCGCACGGCAGATTTGATTTTTCCCTCTCTTTCCCCTCTTTCTCATGAAAAGAAAAGGGAAGGACTTTGGACGTAGCCACAGACTCGTTGAACGAAGAGTTGGAGAGAGGAGTTAACCTGTTCCCCGAGGAAATGCTTTGCTGGTATCGCATGCCTCAAGAAATCTGGCAAATGTTCTTCCAAACAGCCAGGGCCCTTTCAAGCTCCGTCCTCAGAGCAAACTGTTCGAAGMCAAACACTTCCCCCATGCCACGAGCATCATACGGGCTAATCTAGCCTTGTCTCAGAAAGCAGCTAGTAACGGATCCCAAGGAAGGAGGGGGAAAAAAAAGAAGAAAAAAATAATAATAATAAAAAAAAAACAAAACAGAGCAACAGACTTTAAGAAATCCTGTCCGTCCCAATACACCCTTCTAGCTTTCAGCACCAGTGGCTTGGGCCTTCCTAAAGCAGCCACTGCAGAGAGACCAGCGTCCACAGCAGCCACAAACAAATGCCCTCTCTAAATCGGCCTAATGTTTTCTTGCACTCATTCATACTTGGAGTATCCAAAACATCCTGTGGCAACATATTTCACAATATAAAATCAGGCGTTGGCTGGAAAACGACAAAAGCACTTGTATTTATTTTAGATCTCTTCCTGATGGCTTCAGCGAGTGCCTAGCATTCTTGGGGCTGGGAGGCCGAAGGAGGCATCGCGTGATTGCTCCCACGCCACTCAGGCCTTTACATACCTTTACATACCTTTACATTATCTGCCTTCTGCCACTCAGGCCCGGCACCACTTGGCARCGCTGAAGATTTCACCCTCTTTGATCTCATCCTATGGAAGCCGCTCCAAAACTGGGACCAAGTTAGCTGCCTTCCTTCGTACTCAGCCTCATCCTATGTCAYGTTTAGGGATGTTATACATAATGTGACACACGTGCTCAGACTTGCACTTGCTTTGGACAAAGCAACAAGAGCAAACTGAAGTGGTTCCCCCGGGGCAGCAGGCATCCTTCTACCACCGAAGCAGAGAGCAACAGGACGAGCTTGTTAGACCATCCTGCTTGGAGCAGAGATTGCAAAGCTGCTTCCCCTTTTCTACTTGGGGCATTTGGACATGGTTTAGCTGCCCTCTACAGCAAGAGCCCCTTCTTTCCTGGGTGGGTTTTCCTATAGAAATGGACTGGTAGACCTGTACATACTTGCATTTATCCTAAACACTATAATCACCTGAGGTAAGGTGGCAGAGGTAATGCATGAAATTAGATTGGAAATTAAATACCTAAAAAAAAAGTATTTTCCTTTATATTAGCTTATAACACTTCTATGATATTTGTCACCAGGCTACCTAAATGTCACTTTTTWAACTGTATACTCCAGGCATGATATTGTGACTTTGTGGTGCCAGCTAGAGAGAAGTCATTTTTGGTAAGAAATGAAACAGGAATCTCATGATGACAAAGACACAGTTCTGCTGCTTTCAAATGCAAATGCAAACAAGGTTCAGAAAGGAAACACCTTTTTAAAAGGCAACTGCAAACAACAGTGCTAGGGGACTATAAATCTGTGTGTTTGCTTAATGTACATAACAGTAACTGTCATGCGACAATGATTTCTACTTCAGGAATGAATGCGTTTTAATTAACGGCCTATGTTTTGTGTGGGAATAAAACAGAACAGACAACTTAAAACACCCAGAAGAAATTGGTCATCGGTTAATTCAAAAAGACCTGATTATCAAATGTATGACATTTTCCCCTGATAAGCCTAAAAACATTTCCTGGGAATGTGCTAACAATGGACATTTCCAGTGTTAAGCACCAGTTGCTACATCTAGTGGCTGTTAGTGTCTTAGGTCATGCCTTGCAAATTCCAGGGTTATTAATGCATTTGTGATTTATTAGAAACGGTGTCTAGAGCACTTACTCATTCTTGGTTGCATCTGAATGAAAAAGGAAAAAAAAAAAAAAAAGGATTACAGACCAGTGTCAGTGAACCTTAGTTTGGCAAATGAAAAATGTTATTAGTAACTTGGCAAAGTGAGACAAGTTAAATGATGAATAAAGTTCTGTCTAAAAACGATTAGGAAGTAGCCACTTTGGGCTATATCCTGCATTACAAGTTTGGAAAGATGCTAAAGCAAATAGCAAAAAAGCTAGAGAAGAAAGAATTTAGAGAGAAGTAGTGCAACACAAAATAGTTCTACTGCTGAGCACCTTTACAAAAAAGACCCCTATTCAGTGTCAAAGAGACACCTCAGTTACTGCAATGCTGTTATTCTGGAGCACTTAGCTTATTGTCAGATATTTATACGAAGCTGGTTACAACCATGGCAGCAAACACTCACCGCTGCTGCAGAGCTGCAGCCTAGCTAGCGGGTTCACACGAGTAAGTTACAGACTTCAATGCATTTATTTTGCAAGCTATATAGCAATTATTAAGTTGGAAATATTAATTACAGGAACAGAAAATGAGATTTCTGCATTTCATCTTTGCTTCGCACRTGCTCTGGCATGAGCCATAACAGAAAGCACAAAGCCCCACCAAAACACTTGTTTGGTGTCTAGCAAACATGACAGCAAAGTTCCTTTCCTATAGAAGAAATTATGGGAAGGGGAAACGAAAAGGCAAAGCAATAATTCTCTATGTTATATGTTCTCTCTACAAGCAGCACTTAAATATGTATGAGACATAACATTTTCCTAACTCAGCTCTTCAAATGAGCACAAAACAACTTCCAGATCTTTCCTTAAATAATCTTAAATAATTTAAAGCAATTATTTCCTTAAATAACAGAACAATTTTCCCCTATTATTTTTAATAGATTGGCCTTCTCTGTTAAAAACGAGCGGAAAAAATAATGTGCATTTTAACGGCAAGAAATTGTTATAATTAATCCTGCATTTCCACTCACTACTTTATCCAGCGTTAAGATTTTCTGCTGTTTTAYTGGGCAGCTTGTTGTTCTCTCCCAAGGACGGAGGGGCTGCTTCAAACAGAGCTGCTCTCTGGTTAAGCCCCAGGTTCAGTCACGCAAGCTAAAAGTCACGGTACTGTTCATTATAGCCTACAATAATTTACCACCAGGCTCAATTTTAGTGTAGTTAAACTCGGGCCTCTTTCTCTTTTTTTTTTTTTTTTTTTTTCATAGGGTACAAACAATTTTTCTAACATCTGTACGCATTAGTTACAAGAGTTGGAAGGGACGGGATAAACAGTAAGCTTTAAAGCTCTTTAAAAATCACGGAGTAAAAGGTTGCTGCTTTTTGCTGGAGTTTATTTCCAGCCATCCTACGCGGTATAAACCGGACAAGTTTTTCTTTTAAAATGTGCACGGAAGAGCTGCAAACGGAGCGACACTGACAGCTTTGCAGAAGGGGACGTTTATAACACAAGGCAAGTCCAATTTACACCCAAGAGGATCACAAAAAATTTATTTTTGTGAAAGTTGTCTTGTCCCATTTCCTCTCGCACCATTCCACTGCACATGAATGGGAATCTCCTCTAAAACATTATTTATCAGGAGAGACTTTGGGAGAATTTCTTCCTAGTGATCAAGATCTGAGGAAATCACATCCCAGACTTCGGGCAAAGCAGATGAGAACAAAAGGGGACAGCCAGGGTGCAAACAGATATGCCCTTYGGAGCATTTTAAATTAAAATTTTGAAAAATCCTTGGCTTCTTTAACAAATGCTACTCAAATTCACCAAAAARCTTATATTTAGGGATCATTAAGGCATAGTATTAAAGCTGACACCTCTGAAAACAAAGATGTTTAAGGATGGCCTCATCCACTTTTAAGAAAAAGGGATCCAAATCTTGTAAAGGTACCGCGGAGGAGCCCTCAAGTCCTGTCCTCCATTCGGAGATATGTCCTCATATGCACATGCACAAAGCAAAGAAATTGTGACCTGTTCTGTTACCCAGAGACAGCTCAAGAGCAACTAAAATTGATGCTTTTGCAGGCTCTTAGACCATCTTCTTCCTAATGTTTTGTTCCACTTACTTAAAATAGCACTTAAAGCTAACAGGCACAATCGTTGGCTTCACATGGACAGGCAAATTCTGAAGAAGTTAGAAAATAAAAAAAAAGAAATGTGAGTTTTCTATGGGGGAAGCCGCCCACAGTTTTCTTTGCAATATTAATACAATTCTTTAGAAGCAGCTTACAACAGTATTTCTCAAACGGAGCCTCCGATTGCCCTGGGAATTGTGAAAGGCTGAAAACAGCAGGAAAAAAAACCCAGCAGTTTCTTCTTAGCTACAAAAGGACCTAAACATAAAAAGCTTTGTGAAACATTAAAACACACACACACATCTATATATAAATATATATAAAACATTAGGCTGACTTATAGCCAGCATCATCTCAGTTCTTCTAGAGCAGAATAAATATTTCTTCCACAGCTAACTATGAATCTGATTTTATTCCACAATTGTGTGGGAACTGAGCTGTTGCCAGTAAGGAAAGTCAGTTAAGAATTTATTGTTTTTTGGGGGTAAAACGGGTACAGAGACCAGAGAAGCTGCCCCAGGCCAGTACACGCTGAGGAGTTTACATGATGGAACAGGACCGGGCGGAAAGGGCACAAGCACCTTGCACAGTCCAACTGCAGGACAAAAGCCAGGAAAAGACASCACCAAGAATCTGCAGCTCTGTAATCAAAATTGCGCCCTGCATGGCATATTTTTATACATATATATTGTATTATGCACACAAACATACATATGGGGCGACTCCTGGTCCTGCCACAGCTGAAATACAAGGAATTTTTCAAGCTCCAACTCTGCGTGATGAAACTGAGCAGACTACTTGAACTCCTAACCAGTTCTGCAGGTGAAATGTAACTTTTAATCCTTTTTTTTTTTTTTAAAAAAAAAAAAAAAAAAAATATCGCACAAACTGTTTTCCCGAGTTCTAGTTTTAATCTCGCATTTAGGACATCTCTGCTAGCATACTTCCTTTTTGAAGTATGTTTTCGTTGCTCTTTGGAAAAAAAGAAATCTCTGTAGTTTAACTTCGTTAAATTTCATTTTCTGGCACAGAAAATATGCACCAAGGTAGAGTGGTTTTGGACTGAAAAATCTGAAAAAATAYATATAAAAAGCAGCATGCCAGTAAATTGTAATGGGTATATTTGGCAATAAAATTAATATCCTGCTATGTTAAGCTATATGCCTACATCAGATTTTAATATTCTACAACTTAAAAATAAACTTAGTTTTTTTTTTTTTTTGACTGAGACTATTTAATACAGTCAACGGCAGTCTATTTTGAAGTTACATTAAGGTATCCCAGTAGTCTTAGCCAGGTAATTCTGACTGCCTACCTGTGATTATCTTCCCTTTTTCTTGAAAGAAATGAATCGGGTGGGGTTAGTTCCCTAAAAAGAGAATTTGAGCCAACTTCCTTCCCAATCCACACTGCTCTTTTAGAAATAGTTATTTGAAAATTAGCAGAAAGGAATGATGATTTAAGCAACATTTGTACATCACTGCTCGAGCTAAAATGAAGTTTCTAAAATACTTGTTTTCACCCTAATTCCTTGCCTAGTAATGAATGACAAAGCAGATCATGTTCATTAGTGCAATATTTCCCACAGCACCAAAGGAAACAATCAAAGCTTCTAATTCCAAATCTCTTCTATAGCATTGCAAACATGAAGATACCTTGTTTTTCCCTCAGCAATTATCCATACAGTCAATTAAACAGATCACTACGTATTTTATGATAACATTTCTCTATTCATAAAAGTTTAAACTATTCAAAGCCTCTTTAAAAAGCTCTTTGAGCAAAGAAATCCTAGTGAAACACTCTCTTTCCTTAGCACAGACAGCGTTTCCCCACAGCACTTTTGTCATTTTGTTCCTGCATTTTGACAGTGCTTATAGTGCTTTATAAACTGTATTCTCAACAAATCCAAATCTCTTGTCAAAGCCAATGATTTGCCCTCTGGAAAACACAAAGCTGAATGTCCAGGAAATATCTGCATTTCATTTACCTAGGCATTTAGTGACCTTTAGATCTTATTCCAGATCTAAAAGTAGTTGCTTCGATACCTGCTATCCTACATGCCGTGCTACACGACCTGGCCATAGCCATTTATTCAGTCAACCTGCACAGCCAGATAAAGGCTTGCTTCTCAGCTAGGCTATCTGAACAGTGATTAAATTAAATGAAGCTATGGGGAGGGATTCAGGGKTACAATGTCTTTCAAGATCATAATTGAATTTTTACTATGTTAAACTTTAAAATTTAAATTTTATTCATATTACTTAACATTTTAACTATCTGCAATACTCTATTATTATTCTAATATTTTCAAATGTTTTTTCAATCTGAACTTAAACCATTCCATCCAGGGCTGGAATCACAAGTGTGTTGTGTATGTACATATAAATATACACACTCACACACACACACACCTCCTTGTATTTTAATTTTACATTAATTTATTCCAAGCTTAAAGAGCTCCAAAGTGACTATTAGATGATTTTAGATATCACAGTGGCTAYCCATAAACGTCTTATGATGTAGCTTTCCTACTCCAATTACATGAATTACATGAAGGAAAAGGAACATAATTAGTAAAGTCATTAATCATTTATCTTCAGTATTGCTATTTCACAAAGAACAAGTACTCATCTTTGTGCCGGGGGTAAGTGGGGAAGCAGAAGAGGGGCAGATAAGAGGGACTATCTAAATCCTGAGGACTCACTCCACTAAGACTCACTATTAAAGCTTCACTTTCCCAATTTCCAACTTCTTGCTTTAATACTGAAAGGCCACTACAGACTGACTTCCTTCCTATTAAGGGTAAAGAAACCTCTGCCTGTAACCAGGAAGAGCATCAGACACTTTCCTCAGGGTTAAAGAACAAATTCTCCCATGTGCCAATCTTCTTAAAGACTTACGGGGTCTGTATCAAGCACTGGAGAGCTTAGTTTCTTGCCAGTTCTTCAAATCACGGACAAAACCAAGACTGTAGTTCTTGCCCATTATTACATCTACTGCAGAGCAAATGCTTTAAAGCAAAATATTTCCTATATGGTGCCTTTTGTGGACTTGAAAAAAATAACAGCAACTTTATCTTACATCCAGACGGCTAAATATTATCATTTACCTAAAGCAGACAACTGCTTGCTTTAGAAGACACACACCAGTTTGCTACCTTTCATAACTTAATTTTTTTAGGCTTACTGAAAGCAAACAAATACTGGTTTCTGTTTTACTACCAAAGATACTTTTTCTAAACTCTAAATGCATATGTAAAAACTTACAGATACAGATTTCTACGTTAAGCATTTAGTCAAGCACTTAAACAAAATTAAACTTCCTTTCAAGCCCTGAAGCCAGGGCACTGTTACTGACCGCAAGAGAAGATTCCAGTACGACCACCAACAGAAAAAAAACTGTAAACATTTTTTTCAGTAAATACATATTGCAATAGATTCAGAAATAACTTTCTCCCCTCAAGTGCCACAGGGTTAGATTTCAAAGCTGCTCCGTGCATCATCTGAGCTAGCTGGGAACTCCGCTATCAAAATTCCAGCCAAATCTTTCCCCGCATCCTTTCTCCTACATCGTCTTGTAGAGATTTATGGAAACAGTGGAAGACAGTATTTGGAGATTTATTATAAGGGCAACTGTCTGTTTATAGCTGCTGTAAACTGTACACGAATATTAATTTTGCTCAGAAGCACAAAGCTGAAGTGTTTTTGTCAGCATTAGACATTCCTCCCTTCCCACTTCTCCCTCCTTTCCATGCACAGAAATATAAGCCTTCGGCACAAAGTTGGGATACTTCCAAGATTAAATTTCTGGCCAATATTATAATCTACAAAAGACATTTCTGTAAACCTAGCATATTTTGCTTATTAATTCAAAGAAATCATAACTCTAAACCATTAAAATGCAGAATCTACCATCTGAAAATGAGCTAAATGCCGACTTCTGACTTTCTGAATTAGTCTGTCGATATTGCAGCAGAGTCTCTGAAACAATCTCGCCCTTCAGGTTCAGAGATAAGTTTTGAGACTGAACTACTGCAAGCCTTGATATTCTATCATTGACCAATAAGCCTGACTTGGCTATTACCTAGTATGAAGTTCTCAAAGATGAAAGCAAGAAGAAACGTGTTTGTATAAGAAGGGGCAAAAGAAATTATATAAAATCAGTTAGTTGCTTATATTTCTTACTGTACACTTCCTTGGTTAAAAAAAAAGTTCTCTTTGTATTTCAGATATATGCAAAAACACCACCACAATTCCGGAGGACAGGAATCAAAATGCAAATGCTTATTTGTGTCAACTACTACCAGATTTCAGCTAATTTATCCCTCATTTCAGCTAATTTATCCCTCATTTCCTTCTACTTTCTGAAGTGAAATTCCACTTTTTTTTGTGGAATATATACAGTACTTATATATGGTAAGGAAAGGGGCTAGAGGGGAAGCACACTGCAAATACTATGTTCTCTTTCTCAATAATTCAAAGATAATCCTCGTTGAATGATAAATTATTGGGCTAGCTTAATATGCTTTAATTCACAAACTTCTGCTAATTGCTAACCAACAAATCCTAAATGCTTTAATACTATAACTGTGAAGCATTTTATTACAGCATTGCATGTGCAATGAAAGCATAAAAGAATTTTCTGCAGGTCTAACATACCAGAAAGCGATGATTAAAACCAAACAGAGCGTTAGCAGCCCATATACTCTCAGCTGTTCAAGTATCTGAAGCAATAACAACCTGAGTTCTCATATCAGAAATAGGAACAAAATCAAATCAAAGCCACACAACCTACGACTCCCCAGCAAGTTGTATGAATTAAAAAAGTGCCCATTTTGTTTTCTGGTTCGAGGGGAGAGAAAGGGAGAAAACGTGGGAGAACATAAAACAGCCAAAGCTCTTTTTTCCCCTCTAGTCACAGTGTCAGATGAAACAGCCACGAACAGCAAAGTACCAGCATGGCACGAGTCAGAAAGAGACCCTTAAACACCCCTCCCCTCACACAATACTTGTGCTAAGCACATTGATAAAACTGGATTTTACAGTCTTTTTTTTTGTTGTTGTTGTTGTTTAAATGGATACTCCCTATGGATTTTTTTTAAAAATAATTTAAATGAGATTATTTAACATTATCGCCTTTGCTGAGTAGGACAGCAAGGGCTTCCCAGTACCACTCTCCCGTCTCTTTCCCAATAACTTTACAATGCACTTAAATACCCTCCAGGGGCAAAGAGGGAACATTTTTTTTTCCCTGGGACTAAATGCAAAGAAGGCTTTAAGAGGACGTTGCGTCCTGTGATTAGCTTTTCTTACATACATACTTGTCACTTCTTGTAAGAAATCCAGACAGGGTCGGCTACTTCCAGAAATGCTTATTGAAACAGCCAGTGGGGTCTGTCCTTCATAGTTCCTCGTGTTAGTGTCTGCTCCGTAATTGTACAACATTTGTGCACAAAGCACATCATCTCTGAGAGCAGACAAGTGCAAGGGGGTCTGTCCATCTTCCAAGCGCCCCAAGTTTGTATCCGCCCCTCTCTGAAGGAACATTCGGCAGTACGAGTGATTGCTTTTGATCACAGCGTATCGTAACAGGAAACCATTCTGAATGTCGATGTTGGCATTGTGATCCAGCAGGATTTTCACGCAGCTTGACCTCTCCCGGATAATGGCCAGCTGGAGCGGTGTGGTACCTTTATCACTGAGCGGATCAACCTCAGCCTTGAACTCCAACAGGAGCCTGACAAATGAGTCTCTGCCGTAGTGGGCTGCTACATGGAGGGGCGTCCAACCATCGTTGCTTTTGGCATTAATAATGTCACTTCTGTATTCAGACTCCAACATCAAGCGCGCAATCCTCGCTCGGCCATGCATGGCTGCATAATGCAGAGCAGTGAAGCCTCCAATTAAGTCCTTAACAGTGGGATCAGCTGAAGTTGTAATGGGGGGAAAAAAAAAGTTAGAAGATACGACTGTAATCTGGTTCTGCAAAAAATAATACTCCAACGGCTGAGTGTTATTATTTCCAGGCATAACATTACACGGCTTTTTTTAATACTTAAAATAAATTCTTGCTTTCACAAACAAAAATATTTTTAAGGAAAGTTAAATTACATTTAAGAAATTACACAAAAAAGCTTTTCTTTTTAAACACATGTTTGCATTTGACTAATAGTTTTCCACATTTTCTTAATAACTCTTCAACTAAATACTCAAACCTCTGTCTATCCAGTTTTCCTTCAGCTCTACAATATTACATTTTTTCTCAGTGTTCAGCTTTTTGTTTTATTTTYCCTTGTGCTGCTTCTTGGTCTTAAAAAGAAGCATGTGTAGCAACATCTGCTGTCCCAAATTGCGGATGTTTTGTGGTCTGGCAGGACTGTATTGTTTTTAGGGTGTAATACTGTATTAGGTAAAACGTTTCTATGTGGTCTGCAGGATTTCCAAAGCATGTAGGATATATGTTATTTTAGATTATCTTGATAAAGTCTGTTTTTATAGATGACAAATCTGTTCCGAATTTATAGTTTTATAAAAATTTAAGATTTTACAAGAATGTAAGCATCCCATTATGGAAAGAGTCAGGAGACGTTAGTCCAGAATACAAGTGATTAGAGTGATTTTATTTTCCAAAACAGCACACAAACTCAAGGCACTTTATGWGTTAAAAAAAATAATTCACTCTGCACAGATTTCTGAAGCAAATGACTGCTTGCATTTGCCACGCTAATGACCAAAGAAAAGGTGCCTGCCTCGTTATCATCTCTCAGCTCTACAGCAAGCCAGAGTGAAACGTGTTTCCTGCCACCGTGTGTAAATGCTGCCTGTGGGATAGGAAAAAAGGACAAACTACAGTTTGGGAGCTTGAGGCACCTTCCTAACTTAAGTCTATTAGGTGGTAAATAGAGATTTTACCTGCACAAGGACTAAGCTGAAGCTGACACGCTCAATATGCCGGCATACCTACTGCAAAAACTGGTGAGCTCTGTCCTTCCTAACTCCTAAGGATTGAGGATAAGGATTAAGGATGCCTAATATTGAGGATATTCTGGTTTTAAATAGTCTTGGTTAAAGACTATGCACCCTCAATGGCTAGRTATATCACTTCAGAGGGAATTTGGTCTGTTCTCTACGCTATAAAAARGGCAGATTTTTTTGTTCACTTGCCAACATATTTCCAGACTGCATGGGAAGACCAATTCCCATCTTAAACTTTCGTTTTACTGTGAATTAAATTCACAGTACAATATTAACTACAAGCTGGTTTAGCCTAAGGGTCTGAATATGTAAAGATTTTATTATAGGACAGTAAGAGCTTCCCAATATGGATCTACTGTGACCATACCTGCAAATTGCCCCAAGACAAGAGACTTTACCAAAAGGACAGACAAGAAGGTTCTAAATATAGCTGCAAAAGTCATGTAACAACTTTAGGGTTTTATTTATTTATTTTAAATAAAGGCTTGGGGAGGGGGACCCAAGRCAACCTGGCAACTCAATTAAAACAGTGGTCAGAGAAACAAAACCAGAGAACTGCCACTAGCAAAGAGAGTAGGTACCCAGTGGTTATGACCAAAATAATAAGGCAAGTTTAGACCCCTAGTGGCAACAGCCCTCCTTGTCTTCTATCTAAGGTAAAAGAAGTTTCAGCTCTCTGCAAAGTTACACCCCAAATGAGTGAGAATTAATTGCTGAAGCATCCGCAGGTTGGTGGGAAGATGCAGGCAGTGACTGCAAAGCTGGTTCCTCAACTGTCCCGTGCGGAGGCCCAAAACCCAGCAGAGAATCCCACAAAGTCCCTAAGACCAAGGGGAGTATTGCAGGGTGCGGAGAGCTGCTCTGGGGGCTCTTTCCTCCCACTGCTCAGACTAGTCTAGGCTGCTTCCCAACTGGCGATACATACCTTAGGTGAGAAGCACAAACATGAAAATCAAGATGCAAAATTAAGATGCATTCTGGAAACCAAAGTTTGGGAGAAAGGTGGACATAATAGAAAGGAGAGAGCAGGAGCAAAGGTCCATTTTCCAMTCAGAAAAAGTTGAAGTTTTGACAGCCACAGTTTTGTGYGGTGCCTTCTCTCTCCTCTGCTGCACGGAGCCTGCACATCCACCATTTCTCCCCTCCAACCAAGGCACAAGCCACTGCTGCATTCTGATTTAATCTACGTCACTGCCAAATTCAATTAGACATGCCCCACCATTTGCATGCTTACATTTTTGACACAAACTTTTTTAGTTTAGCTCACATAATGATGCCCTTCCTGTGTTTTAAAGTAGCTTTCCATGTCTTCCCTCCTCACAAAATTAGATTGTTGTTGATAACAAAGGTCAATCAAAAAAATCGCGATATCACATAAAATGGGTATTTCTTCCTGTGTCAAGATGACCAGGAAAAAAAAAACAAAAACACAAACCAAACCAAAATCCCCCACACCTTCAATTCCGGGAAAAAGTAGCAACACACAATAACAGAATTTCCAAAAGCAAGTTTTGACAAAATTCCATGAAAAAATAAATTGCAATTTCTCTCAAAACTATGATCTTCTACCAAGTTAAAGGTACCAGGCACCTCCTCAGTTCGGCAGATAATTTAAACATGACTGAAATATTGTCTGTTCAGTAAATGTTTTGCTGCCATCTCCTGGACAGACTATTTCTAATTGCACAGGCACTTGCAGCAAAAATTGAACCTGGATCATGTTGCATACTGCTTCCATTTTTTCAATCCCTATGATGTTAGTTATAATCTGCTACAAAGCTGATACTGCCTTAAGAATGTGGGATTTTTTTTTCTTGGTATCAACGTTTGCTTCATATCATGAAATAATTCTCTAGTCCTGAAAAACAAGCGAGGTAGAAACAAGTTTGGAAAAAATTCTCTTGCTTACCTTCCAGAATCTGCAGAGAGGGGGAAAAAAAGTAGCTGTTACTAGTGTATTTAACTAGGAAGGTATGAAGCCAGCAGTTGTCAGCATTTCTTTATCTTGCCTCCAGCCTGACTGTCAAGCAATTATAGTTATTCCTTCTCAAGCTTCCCATTAATTTGGGGATAACAAAACCTAGAAATACGAACAACTGCATTTGGTCACTTCTAATATTCTTTAAGATTAGGTACATTCAAGTGACAAAACTTCAACTGCTGCATCAGTTATCAAGGACACCGAATAACTGATGTTTGATTTCAAATGAGACAGGGAATTTGCAGCTTTGAAGGATATGCAGATTACCTCATTTCACATAGAAGTCAGGTACCTAAGCTTTTCATTCAACTGTTAATGAGAATAAGACTTATTAATCCTCCACTTCAGAGGCGAGATTCCTAGATTGTAGACTAAAATTTTACAGTTTTAACTTATTACTCAGTGGGACAGACGTTTCCCTTCTTCTATGCCACCTTCATTAGGTCACTTTATCAAAGTCTAATTTAAGAAGCCACGAAAGCAATGCTTCTAGCTCTATAAAGTATTTCTATTATGTCAAGCTTACTCCCCCAGTAGGGCTTAACTATGACCTCAAGGTTTAGAAACATGCTACACAGGCTCCTTAGTTTGATTTTTTCCAGGGAAAAAATTGATAAACAGAAGACCTCCAGGAAATCATTACCGTTCAGACACAAAAACACTTCATGAGCTGGCTTTAGGGAAGAAGGATTTCCCGTTCTCTAGTTTCTTCTGGATTCTGCATGACCTTGCGTAAATTCAGATACCTTGCAGTCAAGACTAAAAATACAACCACTACTTGAGTACTTCCTTCTCCTACTCCTTCAATTTCTAGAAGTTTTCATGAAATATTCCTTCATTAGAATACAAGTAACCGGAAACAGTCCTGCTCTGTTAGTGCTAAGGTGATTTCACCAGCAGGCAGGTAACAGCTATATACTTTGAAGCCTCTGGTTGGGTCTAATCTCAACAGTGGTGCCAGGAGAATGGATGAATAAAGAATGGAATCATTACTTTATTAAAATTAGATATATTCCAGAAAAGTCCCATTCACTCTTTCCTATGAAAATTAAGGTTCTCCATGATCCTGTTCAAGTTTCTGCATTTCATCCCTTGCTAACAAGTACTTCTCATCTGATCTCCCATCTCCGTATCTGGTTGTTGTTTCTGCTGCTCATAGCTCCCCATAAAAAGCTACCTTTTCTGTCCAGCTCAGACACTTTCTCAGCCTACATTATCCAACCTCCATCTCAACCCCACTATCATTCAAGACTCTTTAGGTTAACAGCGTTCAGTGTCCTAGATCCTTCCCCTCAGCAAACAGCCCAGCATGGTTTCTCACTCCTCTACGATGAAACTATTTCCAGCTCTGCTAAACTTAATCACCACTTTAGTTGGCCACCACCATCGCATGTCCCCATTCTACCCACTAACACCTCAGTCCCCTCTTCTGCAGGGTCTCCTCTACTCCTTCTCACTATCTCCTTTATTATAAGTATATACAGCCACTTTATACCAAGATCCACACCAGAAAACGACCTCGTCCTTCACCACAGCATCATTTTAATCTGCATGGATTAGTGCCCAATACCAAACTAATCCCCTTCCTGAGTGGGAGGAAGGTGAAAAATTGTGTGAAGACAGACACAGACCTCTCAGGAACACAGCAGGTGTGATTAAGTTTACCTTCAACAGTCACCTCATTTACTGCTTAACAACTCATTTGTGATATTATTATTTTTAAAATACTCATTACCTTTCATGCCTCCGTTTTGAGGGAAAATCAGGCCAGGCACAAAACCGTGCCAACTTCTGATGCAAGGCTCAGCGAAAGAAAAGCTGCTGTAGATGACTAACCCTCACACTATTTGTTACTCAACTTTCTAGTCCTGGTGATTAAATTCCCCGCTGCCTCCAGAACAAGGATGTTTCACTACAAATGTTTCTCACCAAGCATCAGATTCAGCTGATATTTCATTTAGGGAAAAGAGAGAAACAACAACAAAAACAGAAACAAAATGCTAAGCCAGAGGTTACCTAATGTCAGAACCTACATCATGAAAATACTTAAGGTTTACTTTCTTGAGAACATCTTCAAGTTCACAGAGTTAAAAAAAAAAAAATCTCATGTACGGCCTAAAAAAATTGTAAAATTATGAAACTAAGTCCTGGAATTACCTATATTTGACATTTAGAGGTAGGACTTAAAGTTATTTAATTATTTGTGCAATCTGGTAGGTTCCTCCCAAATAATGACATGGGTGGCTCCCAGTTTAAGCTGGTTAGAAACTGTTGCAGGAAAATGAACAGAACCCAGTATTCCAGGCTGAATTTCACTATTACTCTGAAGTAATGTAGTATTAATGGCACGAACACAACAGTTTACTAGTGCCACCCATCTTTAGATATGATCTATATCCACAATATGCAATACAAATGAGGCGCCTGGATAGCCTCAGGTAAAATGAAGCATCAGAAATAGAACTCAAATAGTTTGCTTGAGACTGAAAATATCTTATATTATAATTTATCAACTCAGCTGACAGGAATAGTGCTAGAATGCTGTTCTCTCAAGATTCCTCCTCAGAACAAAGAGATCCTTTCCCAATTTTTAATCAGAGTCTGATTAAAAGTTTAAGACTACTAATTTCCAAAACTTTAGGTAGCTTTGTAAAAGCAAAAAGCAATTTTGACTGTAGCATTTGAAATAACTATTGGCTGAAGGAGTAGACCCCTTAAACTGACAAAATTCATTCAGGTTGTCAAACAAAACTTCACTATTTCCGATGGATGCAGGAGAATTATAAATTCAATTGGACTAGTTGACACTGAAATCCTAGCACAAAGTGGTGTCTTCAAAATTTAGCAGACTGTGTTAAAACCTACACAGAAGCTTAGTCTTTAATCTGACTTGCTAACTGGCTTGAGAATTATGAAAACTGCTTCCCTAGGATTTTAACTCAAGGACTTTCTTTCTTCTAATATTCTCCCTACCAGTGAAGGGTGGCCTAGAGTGAGTGTATCTATGCTTATAATGAGCTCTTCTGCCCTACTTTCTTAATGCTTATTCATTCTTACAACAGTTCCTAGCCAATTCTGAAAGAAAAAAAAGAAATTAAGGCATTAAGATACAAAGCTAATCTATTATCTCATTCCCAGAGCATGCATCAGATGGAAACAAAAACGAAGCATCACTCCAAAGAAAGAAAGAAAAAGAAAAAACAAATCAGAAGCGGTCTGGCACTTAACTGATGCTGGGAAGGCATGTAATAGAAAATGACAGAAAGCTGCAAGATGGATATCACGATTTTTCTCTGGTCAACTCACCTCCATGTTCAAGAAAAACACGGACACATCTCTCTTTCCCTCTTGCTGCAGAGAAATGAAGCAAGGTCCAGCCATTGGCATCCCGACCGTTTGGAGAATATCCTTGCTCCAGCATCTTGCGCACGGTGTGAACATCGCCAGCAGCAACTGCAGCCTGAATCTGCAACTCTTCCTGTAGCTCAGGGTTTCTCCGACAGTGATGGTGTAACATCCTAGCTGAATCTGGCTTTTACAGAAGCGTCATGAGGTCATATTAGTCACCTTGAATCAATATAAAACATGAATAAATTAGCACAGGATCAAAGGAAAGGGATATTAAGAAAGCAACGCTAAGCTTTACTCTCCATACACAGAACAAAGCCATCGTATGTATAGATAAGAATTACAGGCTCACTACTGCTAGCAAAAACATAGCACATGGTTCAAATCACTGAACTGCAACAAAAAGGGACACTTATTCATTATAAATAGAAAGCACTTCCTTCTGAAACAACAGCGTTAATGAACAGTCCACCCTTAAAGCAACCTGAGTAATAAGCAAAATGAAAAATCCTCACAAACCAACTTTCATTTAGGATCACAGCAGGGTTATTATCACCAACTCCAGAGATACTGGCTAAATAGCTTATCTAAACTGTTACAAAAACAGTGCTTCCATGCTAGAGCACCTAGATGAAGATGTCATTTTCTAGAGGTGTTTTTTCTTAATAGAAATATATCACCTCTAAACTAAAGCAAAAATATTTTCATCTAATAGAACTTTTTCTTGTGACCAACTGCACAGGAATATTAGTAACACTAACACTCATACTAAAAACTTTCTTTTAAGCTACAGGCTACTGTATTTGGGCTTGTGGAATGCTTTACTGGTACATAAACACCTGAAAGAACCTTTATAATCAAAGGATCAGACACAAAGATGGTCATATATGAGACCTGAGAAAACATGGGTGCATTTAATACAGCCCTCCAGTACTACCAGCACATATACCAGAAGAATTCAATTTATAATTACCTTGAAAGAGTATATGAGAGAGCTGGGCCAGAAGGCTATCTAAAATAGCTGCTGTAAAACAGTCTAGACACCAGCATGTATTGGGAAAGAAATAAGTACTATACTCCATGCTCTGCTTGAAAAGTGTTCATCTTCAGTTCTACTTGCTACCCAGCTGGGGACAAGAAGAAAAACAGATATTTAGGGACTCTTTCACAGTACACAAAATCTGTTAAACGTTTGCATTTTCACACATATTATGCATTGCATCCCATTAACAGGTATTCCTGGAATGGAAAGAAGTAATCATAAGAAAAACCAGAGCATGCTGCTCAGGCCCTACTTTCTGCATCTATAGAAAAGCAAGATAGGGGTTTTTTTTCTCCTCAAACTGAAAGCATCTGATAAAAATGAAATATTCCCCTTGTGAAGGAATAATACTTGCAGGATCTCATACTGTCTTGAAAGTGAAGGTCAAACTTGTTACTGAAAATACTACAGAATGGGATTGGATGACTGAACAGACCAGGAGAGCAGTGACGGTATTTCTCATTAAGGGGCCAGCAGCAGCCCCCCAAGTATCTAGGAAGACAGTTGGTTAAGGGAAAGCAAAGCTCTTTAGATCACACTTCTCAGCTGGTGGGTATATTTGTAATGCAGCATTATAAAAAGTTGGCATTGGCCCCATATGTTTCATGTGACTAGCAGAGTTTATTCAAATTAGCTAGTACTGAAGTATGTACGTACAAAAACAGGGGACAAAGTCAGGCATAAGCAGCTCCTTTCATCATGGTGGAGTTTCTCAAAATATCTGTTCCCTCTCTCCCGCATGGCAAGCAATGAAATGCAAATCACAAGAATACCTAACTGTAATGTTGAAGGTTTCAGGATAGCTCTAGACAGATATTCGCTTTGCAAACATTTTCACTTCCGCTCCACAGACATTTACAATTCCCATTTGCAGATTCCCATTTACAGCAGCAGTCTTTGGATATGGAAAAGACTACTGGAAGTCATTAGCCATTTGGCACTTATTAGTTCATGTTTTGCAACTATAATCAATCTCATTCAGAACACAGTATGCATTTGGATTGCTACATTTTGGCTTTCTCCATGCAAGAGAAAAAAAATAAAAATCAAATGAAGAGAATAAAAATGCACCTAGACATTCTTGGTTATAATGACCACAGCAGCATGAAAACAGAGGACAACTACTGAACTGATTTTGCAAATAAAACAGGATACATTCAGTGAGTTTCTGCATTACCTTATAAAGGTTGTAACTTTGTGATGTATGTCCCACTCTTCACTGTCTTCATTATTCATAATCTTGTGTGCCCACGTGTGTCAAACAATCTGCTATCCCTTGAAAAGAATGACATTTCTTATTAGGTGCAAGAGTAAAAGTGAGGGGCCTACCTAGTTTTACCTTGACTTAGAGAATAATTCTAATTTATGATGCAGCTATGCCAGAAAAGGGCATTTTCTTTCATTATTGCACAGTTATCCAGAGTTTGGGAGGGTGCTAGTGACAGACAAGGAAAAGGCTGCTGAGAATATTGGAAAAAAAAAAAAAWATATATATATATAGTGGAAAAGAAAAAAAAAAGGAGGAAAAAGAAAAGAGAGATACCAGAGATGCACTACACCACTGAGGTAAACCCTGAAGAATCCTTGAGATTTCCCATACCTGTTCCTGCCACAGAACAAGCATGGATGCAAAGGTTACAGCAGATATTTCTACGTAACTTCCCTGCATGGGAGCCGGACTCCATGAACAAGTAGATGATCCATTTAGTTCCTCCTGGACCATTTTTTTTCTCAATCATATCTAAGTTTCTTTATCTAAAGAATATAACCCAGCAATACAGATCATGGTCTTCCCTGTCCTTTGACCGGACTTCTCTAGGGCCACCGCAGACTTCTCTCCCTCACACAATAATCCAGCCTCACACACCCCCTGCATTTTACAAAGAACATACTTTGGAAAAGCAAGCAATACCTTCACCTCCAACATCTTCAGCCCTTTCTTCACACCCAAGACTTTCCCTTTTTCTTCACACCCAACACTTTCCCTTTTATCCCTAAGTTTAGCAAATTGCTGTTACGATCCCTGCCCAGCTCCTTCCTTCAGATAAGAAGGGCTACTCCTCCTTCCCTGTCATCTGGAGTTAACAGTATCAGTCCCACAGTCCGACCATTCCTGCCAGCACTTTTGAGAGCCTCTGCTAATTAATATTATTCATTAATTCTTTGTATACCTCTGCTGTCTGCCCTTTCTTTCACTTTGGCTGCAAGCTCTCTGGGACTCTTTCAAGTGCATGCACACAATGCTGAACACAATGGGAACTCAGCCCATGGCTTGGCACCGCAATGATACAACAAATATTAAAAGCATTAATTACTTCAACATATAGCAGATCACACAAGAACAAATCTGACTTATTTCTTCTGTGAATTGTACCAGAATAGTTACCAGAACTACGCAGCTTTTAGCTTAAGTGAAAATTTCTGTCACTTAACGCAACATAAAATCTTGCCTTCCTGATGATTGCTCTGAGAAGAGGATGAAAAAAGCTCTCTCCATCCTTCTTATGCACGTTTTCAAGAGCTTTACTTCCTAAGATAAAACACACAAGGTCTGCAGATATGCTCACAGCCCTGCACAAAATTGCACTGCCATGACCTCATTTGATCACATTTCTAGCCTTGCCTTTTTGCGTAGACGATTGGTCGTTACTTCACCTTTTTAATTTTTTTTTCTTGATTTTCACTTTAAAACCCACACATTTTTTATTAGCTGATGCAAATTAGAATTGCACTGACTTCACAGACTACAGACAAGGTAACAGATTGCTCCACTAAAAAAGTAACAAGCTTTTTTTCCCCCCAAAGGAAAATTAGCTGCATATGGCAAGAGTAAGATCTGCAACTTTAATAAAAAGAAGTTATATTTTTAGTGAAAGTGAAGTCACTTACTGAAAGACTAGACAAAGTTTGCTTAAAATACTAATAACTGTAGTAGAAGTAGCACACCAACTAAAAAGTAAAACAAACATCTTCATTACCTATTGATAATATCTCATGTTGTCAAAGAGATCTGAGACTTGTATACATCAGTGTGATCCCTCATTAAACAAGTCACTGCAAACACTATGTGGAAAATTAATTCTGACACGTCTGTATTTTTACTTTACAGATAGTTCAAGGTTGCTGCTAAAAACAAGGCCTTATGTTATTTTGTTCATTCAGATGGCCTGACAAGCTTCAGACCTAGTCATAAGGTTATACATTGAAGAGCATCCTAAGGACCTTATCTCACTAACACCAACCTAATGCGGCAGAAAAATAAAGTGTACCATTATTAAGGTCACTTAACAGCTAGCGTAGGTCTCATCAACGCAGACTCTAACTGTCMCTGGTTGAAATGAAGTGTTGTAAGACACTGGAGAAGATAGGAAGGGGAAAAGCCCYGTGGATTAAGAATAATCCCATCAGTGTTTGTTATTCTTGCAACTCACTTCTCTCGGCCAGCTCAAAACTCAAACAAGCTCAATGTTCTCACTCAAATGGCATTTTAAAAATGGTCAGTGTGTGTTCAACAAGAAGTCTCAACGCAACCGTCGCCTTCGTATGTTGCCTGACTTCCTACTTGTGAAGCTCTTCAGACCACAGAGCAAGGCAAAGCATCACGCGTTCATGTTTGTGAATCATATCTGAAACTCATTTGTGAATCATATTTGTGTTCCCATGTGACAACAATAAAGTTTACAAATAATACACGAAATAACTAAATCTCACGGAGCCTTATAACCCTGAATACACTTCCTGGTCGGTGCCCAGCACTGCATCATAGACAGGGCTCAGGCTAAATATGCCTTATCTATCCACATGACTGAGATGAGGATGATAAAGCAACACTTGGGTACCACTGGGTCTGAAAACAAGGAGTTAATAATGGTTTTTGGGGGGTTCATGCATTACAGACAAACCTGTACTTCAAAGAAAAGAAACTATCGCTAAGAAGTCATCAAGAGATGTATGCACACCTCTCATGACAGCATCTCTAATGCCATCTTGCAACTTGGACAAATTTAACCTAAAATAAGTATGATCTAAACCTCCTACATCAACAGCAATTGTTTATGGTACTGTATGATGCTATCCAGGCTTCATATACACTAAATAAGCAGCTTCTCTTACTTTCTGCAGGTGGCTGCAACTCAAATCTAGAAGTAACTACCAACGTTTCTCAAAAATTCCTACTCATACTCTAATAACCATGACTACAGCATAAAATAACCTAAGTTACATTGATGCTGTTATTAAGTTGCAAAGAATGACGCAGTTAAGATTAAAAAACAAATGCCTTAAAGTAAGCAGCATGTCAGAGCAAGTGCCAGTATATAAAATTTATAAAATTTAACACGACTTGCATACAATTAAAGCATACAAGAACGAGCATTTCATTAAATAACAGAAAAAAATGGCTAGTTCAAAACTTACTAATGCAATCACTTCATCAGTTGTGTTATGAATATTAGTACTGAATGGTGAGTGCCATTTATAAAGCTCAATTCATTCAACAGTCTTCAAAATATTCAAATTTGTATTTTTTAAAAACACTCTTTAAAAGTCTGAGAGGACAAAATTCATGAGATAACTTCAGTGGAGAAAATAACTGTTTTTCACTCYGATAGTATCATTCTAAGTAAATCCTGGAACAACAGGAAACAGTCTCTCAGCACATTTTCTAAGAAAAAAAAAAGAGCATATAGACTGAAGATAATAAAGTCTGGATTTGCAGCTTTATCTAAGGGGAGAGCTATACTTGCAGCACGCTGCTCTTCCTCCAGAGCACAGGCCTTCAGCACATTATTTACCTTTCTTTCATGTTTGACCACATATACATTTCTGTCGGAAGTTAAATGGTCCATTTCTGCAAACTCAGTTTTAGTCTCTGTATCTGGACTAAATTTCACTGCATTGGCATTTCATGTTAAGGGGCACTTCCCATTAAGGGGCTTCACAAATCAGAAGAACAGTTGCAATTAATTCTGTGAATAAATCCTAAACATCCAAGGACCACAGGTGTCCTGTTTATTAAGCTACATTAATGCACAGCCCTATGTTAGTTGCATGGGCTTACTTTTAAAGAAGGTGTTATAATAAATCAACTTCATATAAAACATGTGTGGCATAATTGCATTGACAAGTTCGTATTAATGCACATTCAACTTGCAAGGGGGATTTTTGTTAACAATATGGTAGGTAGTTACACTGGCCCCTTTTATTTATAGTTTTTTTACACTTATAGTTTCATACTTACAGTTATACTTACAGGTTTTTCTATAAAAACACATGTTTTTATAGCAAGCTATCAAAATGATTTGAATATTTCTTCAGTGTATCTTTAAAACACATCTCAAAGTTTGGTGCACTATTGCTACTTGGGTTTGTTCTTTTTAATCTTTGAAGTTTAACAGCTATTCTTCATTATACCCCAAAAGGTACCTGCTTTAGAAAAATGATCCATCTTTGAACAAGGTTATTGGCAACAAGTACTGCTCTTCCCCTGCAACTAATGCTACAGAAGTAACGTATTGMTGACGACGAAAAATGTTATGCTACAGTCAATGGCATCTCTGAAAACGTGACAAAGACAAGTAGGAGGTATAGAGGGTATAGTTGCCAAAATAACACAGGCTCATCTACATTTGAAATGGATTAAAATGGGTTCAGTACAGACTTTACACGAAAAGAATGAGCAGGAACTCCATTATTCAGAGGATACTGAAAATAGGTTGTGGAAAGAGGTTGATAGACATCTTTTTTCGCCCTCCTTTCTGCTCACTTTCTTTCTAAAGCCCCACTCTGCATCTTCCTACCACACAGGACACCCAGCTGGCCCTAAGAAATTTTCTTCCCCTGAATTCTTTCTCCTTCCTTTTAACAGCAACATTCAATTTTTGATGCCCCATTTTGCATTTTTCCCCTCACTATCTAACAGTATTATCTTCTTCCAATTTCAACACAAAAAGCTAGCACTTGCAAGCAAAAAAACACCCAACTAAATGAGTTTCAATTTCAGCAACTTGGTTACAACACAATGCAAAAAAGCCTGACACATGCAGAAGTTAGATCTACCTAAACCAACRTAATGTAATTACCATGACCTACCCCAATAATGATGTTAGAATGCAAGCAGCTACTACAGGTCATGTGTCGTACCCATAAGCCAGTGAAAAGACTTTAAGAAGAGCAGCCTTTAACTACCCAGAGTGAAGTCATTCTAAATGACATTCTGAATTGAGGAGCCACCAAAAAAACAAAGCATTACATAGCAGGCATAATGAAAATAATGTCCGCAGATTAAATTTAGAAAATGAGCAAGAAGAGGGAGGAACACAACTTCAACCGGGCTTTAAAGCTTTTCAACTTTTAAAGCGCGATAGCGACTAGGTTTAAGAGAACAAAGAAATCTAATGCTACCTATTCACATCTATCAAAACCAGCCACAACGTGAGGCCCCAAACACAGGCAAACCACAGGACCATTTGGGAGAGTCTATGTGAAATGTCACCTTTCTTTTTCTTTTTTTTTTTTTTTTTAAAGCGCTGCTTTTCCTCTTCTTATTTCATTCCTTAGAGCCACGACTTTTAATCCTGCTTTATGGCAGCATAAACCTAAAACAGAAAGAAAAAGAGGAGCCCTGAGCCAGGTTACGGTGCAGGAGGGAGAACGGGAGAGCCAAGGAGAGGCGGCCCCGAAGCAGCAGGAAAACGCCTCGGTACC